AGTAAAGTGACGCCACAAATTAGTTGTACAGCCTTCTCTGTCTCGAAGGTTATGGTTCGAGACGAAATAGTTCTTTTTGTAATAGTCTCATTTTCAGCTTTGAAATTCCTAAAATCACACGTCAATGTATCTTTTTAATTTAAATTATAAGGAATTTGAATTATAAAGTTCATAAAGCTTATTTAAATTTAATATTTTTGTCACAATATCCACCAGTATTTATTTGGTGATATATTTTTATTTATAAATGATTTTGGAAAAAAATTTTGTATACTTTAATTATACATACAAACATTTGAGACATATGAGAAATAGATTTGTTAATAGTAAATATTTATTTTAACCTCATTTATGTCTTTTGTTTAGTTTCATTGTGACTAATGGAGACATAATTTATTTCTTTTTGAAGCCAAAACATATTTCTTGAAACAATTGTCTTTTCATTCCAATTTTGATTTAATATAGTGTACTTAATTTTTCCAACTTGATGTTGATTTATTTCTATATATAAATGATTATTACTCATTTAATTTTCTAATAATGCTATTTTAATATTTATGAATGATCTTAATATTTTTGTTTTTTATGTGAATTTTGGATACTAAAACCGTTATTACAACTTGAACTTATTTTGAATAGGGTTTGATAAACTTTAGTCCCAATTTAATTTTTTAGTTTGATTTTTTTCAGATGCTTTATCTCGATTCTTCTTTTTTAAAATCATATTTTACAATTTACATTCACAAATAGTTTTGTAATTTCCTACTTTTATTGTTATTAATATTGAAATTGTCCAGAGAGGCATGTAATTTTTAGTAGTTTATATAGGTATATCTGTTAATGCAGGATTTTTTTCTTTCCGTAAAATTACAGGTACATTTTATTAGTGTCTAATCAGAATAGACTGGTTTAAAACAATGTGCTTTAAACCAAATAGTTTATTTTAAGAAAAACCAAGCCTGGTATTTTTGAAAGCAATCTATCAAAGTTTTAATTTTTTTATTATTTATACAAGTAGTTTTTAAAATGAATAGAACCAAATGAAAAAAATATTACATATTCTCCACTTTTATGTTTAAAGAAAACTTGTATCTGCTAAATAAACATAAATATAGAATTTTTAAATGTTTAGATATCATAGCTTTCCTGCAAAGATATGTATAAAAATAAATTGATGTGAGCAAAATGCTAAAACATTGTATTAACAATTTAACAAGCAATTTAATTTACTGATCACTAAAGATAAAGTTAGTTAAATAATGTAATTATTGAACAAGTTAAAATAAAAAATTAGAAATACCTTTTTTTCTTGTTAATTATGCATTATGTTCGAAACAAGCAAAAGCACAAATGGAAAAGAAATTCTTGTCTGTGTTATTTATTTTTCAGTTCATGCTTAGATTTTTTTTCTGTTATCAGTCTAAACAAATTTGTATTGTATTATATATTTTTATCTTGTTTTAATAATTTCAAACTGAAATTTTTGTATTAGAAAACGAATCTAATAAAAATATTCAGAATTTATCAGGCTTTGCATGATTAAAATCGCAATTTGAATAAAAAATATTAAACTCTATTATGTTGAAATAAATAAAAGCAATTTATGCTTTATTTATATAAAGCCATTAGTACTAAAACTTTTGCTATTTTACCCATGTCAATTTTGTATCCTTTTATCATTCCATTATTATCAAGCATTTTGTAAATATATTTAATACATATAAAATATTTACGGTATATTGCTTTAAATATTTTAAAATTTGTATTGATTCAATGATTTAAACTTAAAAAGAAATATGCATTTCATATAACTTAATTATTGATACGATAAATTGCATCTGAATATGATATTAATTAAACAATACTGATGTATAGCATTTTTACATTACAGACAAGCAGGGGGAGGAATCACTCTCAAACGTATATTGCTAAAATAAAATTTACATGTTGAGTGTTTATTTTCATGTCAAAAGGAGTTTTAAGTAATATAAAAGCATATTTAAAGTATTCAGTTCCTCTTCATTTTTTGTTAACATATATAAGAAACAAAAGTGGATATTTTTGAATTGTTTATTAAAAATATTAATTAATAGTTAAATTCTTTGATATACGCTGAAGAGCCAAAAAAACTGGTGTACCTGCCTAATATCGTGTAGGGCCCCCGCGAGCATGCAGAAGTGCCGCAACACGACGTGGCATGGATTCGATCAATGTGTGAAGTAGTGTTGGAGATAACTGACACCATGAATCCTGCAGGGCTGTCCATAAACCAGTGGGAGTAAGAGGGGGTGGGGATATCTTCTGAACATCACGTTGCAAGGCATCCCAAATATGTTCAATAATGTTCATGTCTGGGGATTTTGGTGGCCAGCGAAAGTGTTTAATTTCAGAAGAGTGCTCTTGGATCCACTCTGTAGCAATTCTAGACGTGTGGGGTGTCGCATTGTCCTGCTGAAATTACCCAAGCCCGTCGGAATGCACAATGGACATGAATGGGTGCAGATGATCAGACAAGATTCTTACGTACCCGTCACCTGTCAGATTCTTATCTAGACGTATCAGGGGTCCCATATCACGCCAACTGTTCACGCGTTTTTTTGTTTTTCCAACCCTGTGTCTAATGAATTTTGCTAGAGTTTCATTTTATTTATTTATAGCTTATATCACTGATTTTTCATAAAAAATTTTTTTTAGAGTCTTGCTTTAAAAAAAATTTTAATAGGAATTTTTCTTATATTCCTTTTTGCTGATTCATGTATTATAATTGATAAGCAAAATTGAAACTGCTCATTTTATACTTCAGGGATAATCATTCAATAATTTTTATTTATTTATGACTCACAATCACCCTTGCAAGATCTAATTAATTCTTTTGTGCTGATGTGTTAAATATCATGCAGAGTAACAGTTCCACGATCTCAGATTCTTGTATTTATGCTGCACTTTGGTGCAAAACCCTATGTTGCTGAGTAATTCTTTTAAAAATGTACAACGTAGAAGCAAAAGTACAATTTCATATCATGGCTTACTTATTACACCCTAAGTATAGAGAGGAATTTAAGTCTAGTGAACAAAAAGGGGAAACTCAGCAGTTTCTTCTGAATATTTATCCTAATAACATTCCTCTTGTTGTAGTTCAATTTGAAAGAATTGCCATTTCCTTAGACATATTTCTCTCTTAGTGTTATTAAATCACTTACAGCATTCAAATGGCAAGAAACTATATTTTCTATTTGTAACATTTCAAAAACTTATTGAGACTTCATTTCACTCTGACAACTTTGTTGTGCTAATTCTGCTGCAATTGAAAAGACATTTTCAAAATTTTCTTTTATTCATTCTGATAAAAGGAACAAACTTTCCTTGGAAGCCTCTTCAAAGTTTTTATTTTCCTATGCCATATTGAAGCATTGTTAATACAAATATTTAATACTCTGAATGGATGAACTAAAATTTTAAATGATGCAAACTGTCAATTTTAGTAAACTTTATTGTTTTGTGTTTTATTTTATAACCAATTTATTTATTACATATTTTTTTATTTAAAATTTATTAAAGATTTCATTATAGTTAATTTTATAGTAATAAGTTTAATGTTATGTCAGGTAAATTTGAACCTACTTAATTTTTCCATATTTGGTCTGTTTTTCTTTTCTTTTTTTTCCCTACTTTTTTCCATTGTCCTGGCTAAAACTGACTTTTGTTAGCAAAAGTCTAACCGTAGAACTTCAAGTACAGTTTGTTTTCTGTAATATAGTAGTTATTTAAAGTTTTTAATTCTTTCTAGAGAGTGCTTGTTAAAACTTTCAGGGTCTAAAGTAGAAATGTTTATTAGTTCTTTCTCTATTTGTAATATAATAGTCACTGTAACCACAATATTAATAATGGGTTTTGCAGAAGTTAAAATCTTGTATTGTCAAATGTGTCCAATTTAGTGCATTATTTTTATATTTTATAAATATACATGCTACAGCTTGAACTAGCTTTATTTTATCCAAAAATAATAGGGCAATTTTCTGTTATGTAGACTAAAGCAGAAAAAAAAAGAACTTGAATAAAGCACAAATGAAAGTACAGAAATGGACACTATAGTTTCAAATCTATAAACAAGAACTTTCTATGGTGTTTTAACACCAAATGATAGTAGAAAAGTAAAGAGACAAGCATGTGCAAAGAGGCTTAACCAATAGGAACAAGTTTGAACAAGATAATAAAATGAGGGAGATAGGAAACAGGTTCAGGGGGTTTTGTGGGAATTCCAGTGTGCAAAAGATTAAATTTGAAAAGATTTCCAAATATTGGAAAACAGTGGGATACAAGAAAGATGAACAAAATTTAGTTAAGCATACTGACTTTTAAAGATTGTTAAGTAAAAATATTGGGGGTGGCAAAATACATTTAATTTATACATTACAACTTTAAATTATCTGAATTGTTAAAGTCTACTCCCACATGAATCTTTCAACCACAAATTGATGAATTCTGAAGGATCAAATTTTATATGGAGTCATTGGACATTTTAATGAAAATTCCCAGAGTATCTTTCTACACTAATGTACTTTTACAATAAATTATTTCTTAAAAAAAGCAATGGGGAAAAAAATAACCAATTATGTCTAATTTAAGACACCACTTATTTTGTTGACTTGCCATGTGGAAAGTAGTTATTTTCAGGGCTACTAAAAGAAGTTAAAGGTTTTGTAATATAATTTTTTTTTTTAAATATGTGATAGTTTGCTTGGAAGTTTTTGAGTTAAACTCTTTCAGTTAATCCCCTTCCCTCTGTGATGTTTTTTGCTTCTTGTGTGGCACTACCCGGATTTTTTGTAACAGGTATTGATATAGGAATTTACCAATTGAATTTTATTGTAAATGAATTTACAATTTTTAAAAACATTTTTGAATTAAATATTTTAAGTTTCAAACAAATATTCAGTATTTGATAGTTTTAAATTAAGTGTTATTAATGTTAAGTTTAATTTTTTCTCTTATAATTTCAGCTATGGCTCTTTATCTTCAAGCAAATCTACTATGAAGAAACTATTGTTTGTTTTCAAGTGCTGGAGCTTTTTCTTGGGGCCAATTAAATTTTGAGAAAGGCTGTCGAAATGGAAGAAATGTGTCAACTGGAAATTGCTGACTCTGATGGAAAGCTAGGAGTTCTAAGTTCAATCCTGACCGCAAATTAAGTAACCAGTGTGTATATGCAGCAAGCTGCACTTTAAATCTGCTGTGGTGGACAGCCTTGTTGTATGGAAGTTTGAAGAAGGGTACCTGTGAGATTCATCCCTGCTCTGTATTTTTGTGTAGTACATACATTATTAACTATTGCTGATCATTTCATAAAAACTTTCAAAAAAGCATTTAAAGATTATTTGGAAATATAATTTCAAGTAAACAAAGACTTTCAATTGAAGGAATAAACTCGAACTTTATCAAATAATTCTGAAGTCATAAAATTTTTTTTAATTTAAAATTTATAAATAAAATAAAATCACTTAATCCAAAAGTTACTTTTTTGAATAAAGAATAAAAATTATTTAATGACAAATATATTTTAACTTTTTTACTAATTATAGATATGTTTATGTTTAACAATGAAGGTAAGAATGTATTCATGGGTGCAAGTCTTCCGTCCCCAGGACGGATTTCCGTCTTTCGAAAATGTCCGCGGACGGAAGTAAGACGGAAACAAGACTGACTCGAAGACGGAAATCGGAATTTTTTTTTCTGTCCATAAAAATATTTTTTAGGTCTACGTTATTGGTCTACTTTCTTATGTCCTGTTGTTATTTTATGAAAAGACAGATGAATAAATATTTTTTGTACAGTATTTAAACTTGATGTATTATGGTAAAGCTTTCTTAGATAGTTTGCATATGTCGAGGGAGTATTGCGTATGTTAGGTATTTCAGTCAAAAAATTTTCAGTCTTGGCCTTTTTTCCAACTTGCACCCATGAATGTATTATGCTTTTACAATTCAATGGAGTTTATTTTATTGTGTGTTTTGTTTTAAATAAAATAATTATGTTGTGGAATAATTGTAATCATGATTGTTTTTTATTCTATATACTGCAGTGTGTAAATCTTCATAATTTTAAAAAATGCAAGTTTGCAGATATATTTGCATTGATAAAATTTTATAAGATATAATGTTGGAAAATTTTTACGGCAGTGATTAAGTGTAATGAAAACAGATGAATATATTTAAAATTTGATTGTTTTTAAATTTTAGATATGATATCGGAAATTTTTTTCTTTTAACACTGATGTTAAAGTTGATCTTAATCTTGTGAGTACTTTTATTATCAGCACTCTGTTTATTACTTTTTAAACTATACGTTTGAAGTTTGAGACAAGGACTTACTTTTTTTATTTTATCTTGTTTAAAATAATATAATAGCAAAATAACTTAATATTATAATTAAGCTGAAGACCATTTACATTATAATTTTAAAAAAATCCAATCAATGTTGAAGAGAATCGTGCTTAAATTTTCCTTTGAAAAGTCCCGTATATTCTTTGTGAGAACCTTTTCTATGGTTAATTCAGAATCTTAATTTCATTTTCTTTTTTTAAAAAGTCCGTTAAAGATGTAATGATAAAACACAATATTTACTACCTTTTTTGCTTAAAAAATTTAAATGCTCTGTGAAGTTTTGGCTAATATTGTTAGTTTAGTAAATACTCATTTGAAATAATTATCGAATTATTCAAAATTTCTGATGTGCCTATGTTAAATTATTTTTACATTGTAAAAAATTATTGGCAATTTTTATAATATTAGATGCTTTCCTAATTTTATTTCCTGAAAATATTTCTATCGATGTCTTAGAGTTTTGTTAAGTAAAATTTCCAAAAATAAAAGAATAAAATTACTTAAGTATTTCTCTATTTGATTTCAGTGAAAAAAGAAAATTTATAGAAGTAATTTGGATATTTTAAAATTATTTTCTTTATTCATTATCTCATTTATTACAAAAATAATATAAAAATTCAAACAATAATTTTATTTTAATCTTGTATATTCTTTAAGTCTACAGTTTTATTTTTTGGGAATAAATGACCTATAGGTAAGGGAATTTTTTTTTTAAAAGTTAAAATCTCCAAGTTAAATGCAAATCTAACTTAATATAGTGTGGTTTTTATTATGAAATTTCAGAATATAAATAATGTATTATAATTGTAAATTTATGGCTAGAGTAATGACTTTTATGAAACATTTTTTTATTAACTTACAAAATCATTTGAGATTTTTATAAAATTAGCTTTCTTTTGAATGAAAAAAAAACGAATACATTTAAAATTAAACGCTTGAAAATGATTAATGAAATAAAAATAATCAGTAAATTCATTGTGTAAAGAAAAGGAAAAAATATCAATAAAATTTAAGCTATTCATGTGTTCATTCTTATTAAATTTGAGATACATATTCATTCAAAAAAATCAACTAAACACAAAATATACTTTGGACAACGAGGTAAGAAAATCGATGGTAGCAGAATTAGATAATAAAATTTAATTTAGTATTTCTGTATTCCTAAGTAAATAATGCATGGAATGACGTAAAGCTAATGTTCTATGCTCTACAGCTTCACAATAATACAGAAAATTAAGTAAAATTATATCGCCGAATTATTATTCTACCATCCGAATCTTCCCCTTGCTTATACAAAAAAACAAGATAACTGAAAATCTAATATTATGTAGCATCAAAACCAGTGCGAAACAATCGTATGGTAAACGTTGAATAGAATCAAGCATTATTTTAATGCTGAGAAAGAGGCGACCTTTTATATCTTTCTAATATTCTAAAGTTATGAAAGATAGATTTTCTGATGTTATCTAATAGGTGCGACTTGGGTAATGTGGCGATACTAAATTAATACTTAGACTTAACTAAGCTTATCATTACACTCTGGACTACTATTAGGGCCAAACTGAACTTAAGGTGGTGTGACATATTAAGTCTAGCTAAGCCTATCGTGGTGTATAACATATCAAGGCTTAGCTATAATGTAGCACGTTGTAATATACCATTAAGGACTTCATTTAGGCATAGCTAAGCCTAATGTGGTAGTGTAACATCTCATTAAGGCTCAGCGAATCCTAACGTGGTGGTGAAACAACTCATTAAGGCTTAGCTAAGCCTAATGTGGTGGTGCAACGTCTGGATAATAATAAGAGCTTCAGTCATCCTCCAATCTATCAGAATTTGTCGCAGTAACATCGACAAATAGAGTTTGAGGCATTATCGTGTTGTAGAAGGGAATGCATCATAATGAAACGAGTTTATTTAAATGGTTACAAAATCAGTCGGATTGACAAACGATATATACTTGTTTGCGGAATATACAGTTACGAACAAATCGGTTAACGAACACTTTCACGAAAGATTTTTGTGTTCGGATAACGAACACATATTCGGATAACGAACACTTTCAAGAAAGATTTTTTGTGTTCGAATAACAAACACATATTCGGATAATGAACAAAACGAATTTTAACGAACACTTCTCGGCCTGAAAAAAAAGTACTATTAAACGTTTGTTATCATTTTGCATACAAAATAAGATCACTGAAAGGAGAAATGTTTAAAGCATGCTTAGTATAGATAATTACTAAATGAAACTTGAATTAACAATGAATTTAAATTTAAAGGTCATTTAATAATTATTATTATAAAGCTTAAAACACTTCTCGTCTACCACTCTGAGAATCCTAGAGCATTCAAAAAAATTCCATAATTAAGAACAAACTGCCAGTAATGTGGAGATTAAATCAGAGGGCATGGGTCACACAGTATCTTTTCAAAGAATGGCTATTTGAAGTTTGAGCCCCGAGCATCAAGGACTACCTTGATACCAATGACTTGCCTTTGAAATCACTGCTGCTATTGGAGAATGCACCAGGACATCCAAAGGATCTTGAAGATAATTTGTTGACAGACTTTCCCTGGCTGACAGTTCAGTTTTTACCTCCGAATACGACTTCGCTGATTCAGCCGATGGATCAGGAAATTATTGCGGCTTTCAAGAAATTGTACATTCGCGAGCTGTTTCGTCAGTGTTTTGAAGCAAGCCAATTCTCTTCAACAATGACTTCAAAAAAATTTTGGAAAGAAAAATTTGACATTCTTGAAGCTATTCGTATCATTCAAAAGGCGTGGTCAGAAGTCACACAGTGACAGTTGATTTCTACTTGGCGGAAGCAGCGTCCATCCTTCGTTCAAGGTGACGGAGGTGATCAGGGAGACACCCCTGAAATTATGGATGAAATTTTGACAACTGCTAGAGATCTGGAATTGGAGGTGAACGAGGATGACATAGAAGAGCTCATAATGGGACGTGTAGATTAACTGACAACAGAAGAACTCCAAGAAATTTTGAATGAAGAACACCAAGAAACACAGCGAAATGTGTCTCCTTCTGAACAAAAGGAAGACGAAATAGGATACCAATGCCGACATCTGCCGTTAAAGATCTTTTGAAAAAGTGGGAGGATGTCAGAGCAATGGTCTTAGAATGGCACCCAAACTAAGCTGATGTCAGTAGGGTTGGGGATTTTTACAACGACAATGCTATTAATTATTTCCGGAAAATCCTGAAAAAGAGAGAAAAGCAATCGACATTGGACATGTTCTTCAACGCCCCATAAGCAAAAAATGAAAATGACTGATTAATATGCAAGACTATATGTATGTATTATTTTTTAAAAAACTTAATAAGAAATTATACATTTTTTTAAATTTAATTTTTAGGGTCTAAAGAACGAATTAATCGATTTCACATAGAAGTCTATGGTGAATCGATGATCGGTTAACGAACAATTCGGATAGCGAACATAGTCTTGGAACGGATTATGTTCGTTAACCGATCACCCACTGTATTACTTTAAACATGTGCCTATTCTTTGAGAAAGGCAAATGAGAACAATCAAAGTTTAGAAAACCAAACCAGTCGTTTGACCTTCCATCCATATCTCGCCTTGAGAAGTGGTGGTTTCGTATATCTTTACGGACTTAATGCAAAAGGATCTGAGTTCTGACCGAAACATGAAGTTGAATATCTTCCAAAGTTGGAGAACTGGCCTCTGATTATAAGTCTGCATAATCATCCTCAAAATCTGTAAAATACTTGAAAGATACTAGTTGAAGAAGCTTATGAAGTCTACAATTACACTTACACGTTTACTTGTTACTAGCGAATGAGTAAATCGAAGTAGTTGTAGTAGTATTTCATTTACATCACACTAGAGTTGGGTGACAATTTGGGAAACATCTCAGAGGATGATCAGAAGACACGTCATTACAATTTAGATCCTCTGCGCAAGGGATAGCTGTTCCACTTTGGTAGCCCGGAGATCCATGTGCGAAGCCAATACCTCACACCCTCAGTCCCTTCACAGGCTAATCAAAGTGGTCCCATATATCCGCTTACTGACAGTTACCAGTGATGTTTAACTTATGTGGTCTATTGGAAAGTATATCTTAACTGTCAGTCTTCTGCAGAATGTTAGGAAACGTGAGGTTGAGTATCCTCCATAATTAAAGAATTGAACTATAGGTATCACGAAGAGAAGGTGGATACTCGTTTCTTTCTCTGCTCATTCTTATATTCTAAAAAACTCTCCTTTTCTTTAAATTTAACTTTGATTTGTCAAAACTGTTGAGAGAGTTGAGGGACTACATCGTCTGTTACTTGAAGAGAAGGTATCACCACACACTCTATGTAATAATTTCAAGAGAATCAAATCCTTCTCTCGTTATCCGAGGCTGAATATGTTGCACTAAGAAGAATATACTTACGATGCTAAATTTACCATATTTAATGCTCAAAAATTCGTTGAAAGCCGCTAATCACGTTTTACCAATAATGATATTCCTTCAAATCATAATG